TCAGTCATTTTCATGGCTTTTTGCGGTTTTCCTTAATTTTTGACGGCTCGTAACTTTTGATCCCACAAGCGGATTTTCGTAATATTTTAAATTTAAGCTTTTCTCAGGCCAATAATCATTTTTCCCAATTTTCATTAAAATCTGAGTCGGTGGGGTGTTCACCATTGGGTGTTCTGACACAGAATGAACCTATAAAGAGAACAGTAGCCAACCTGGATGATCTTGGTTGTTCTAGCAACATACTGTTTGTATTTCATCTATCTGCTGTGTATCCACTATACTGAAAAAAGAAAAAGAAAGAAAAAAGCATATTTTAAATGTACTTTTTATATGGTACAGTACCTTGAATAGCAAATTTTATTAAAGATTTTACTAGTGTTGTGAGTACAGACTCCCCCTTCCCAAAGTAGAATTTGTTGAAGATATAGCTCTTAGATGCTCATACATGCCATTTTGACCTTAGAAGAAAGTTACCCTTGCTGTATAGAATTACACACTACAGGCAACAGAGCGCCACCATGCTATCGCGCTAGGCCAGCTAGTCCTGAAACATCAAGCGAGCGACTGTGCAAGAGGCAAAAAGTTGGCGTGTTATGATTTCTTTACGGTTTACTGTGATAGTTTTTCCAATTTGATTAATTAAATCACTACAATTTGTTGGGCAGTATATAGGTCTAGTCAGCAAAACAGAATGCAAAATTATTAACGTTAGAAATCTATAGGCCCAAGCCTAACAGGAGATATTGTTTTCATCTTGTTCTCTCACGCGCCGCATAACACGCACTTGCGTGCTGCCCGTTGCGAACCCTTGATCTAGTGTCATGTAACTCAACAGATGGCTGTGCATCTGAAATTCTTATTAAATTCTGGTGTTCACAAGGTAGACTGAACTAGCATGAATTTACATTGTACGCACAGCAAGCCTAAGTGACTACGCTTTAGAGTGGACAATATTGCAGAATATCATAAGACCTACAGTGATGATTGATTTAATGTAAAGATTTAAGGTTCATTTTTAAAATCTTTTGTATCAAACGATAAAATAAATAGTGAGGTTTCTAGGAGATATGTTTTTCAGTCGTTAGGTACGTCTCGAAATCTGCAGTCTCTTGGCCTAATCAGGAATACTGACATGTAGTATCCAAAATCCTCATATGCTTGCTTAGGCTTCTATGGTGCACTGTAGGCAATTGAGTATGGCTGGAATTGTATGGTAAATATTATAATCACAATACTAATTTAGAGAACATAATAAGAAAATGAGAAAATTTATGCTTATTATAGTCTATTGATTAATAGAATTGTACAATGTACCGTTTGCTATTAACAATGAAATGTTGAAAGGGAAGGAGTATTGATTATGTGAAAGTACAAAAGAAAAAATGACCCATGACCTGGTAATACTTAAGGTTAATTAGCCTTCCCATGGATATTGTTGTTGATATTTTGAGTATCAAATTTAATTTGTGATTTCTACTATATAATAGTACCTCTTTGTGAATGTCAATCTGTCTCACAATTAGCTAGTACAAGAAATTGTTATTTAGATGAAGATTAGGTAATTATTAAATATTGTCATTTCCTTATAATAATTAATAATTATGAGAAGTTTAAAAAAAATTTATTCATTGTATTTAAAGTTCAAGCAAATAATATTCCAAATAAGGCGAGACATTTTTTATACCTTCTTTCGTGGACTTATTAATATTTATTAAGATTGTCAGATTAGGGCGGAAAATAAATTAAAATAAAACGTTGGTTTTCATTTAGCAAAGAGTTTTACCGAAAACATCCTGAGGAAGGAGAAATAAAATTAACATTTCATTGGTTAATGTAAACGGTGTAGTAATTGGGATGGTTAAATGCTTTAAATTTATATAATTAGGAAGAAATACACACAAAATAAAGTAAACTTAAGTAAAACAAAGTACAAGTATAAATAAAGTAAACTTGTATTTTTTTTCTGAAATTTCCATTTTTTTGTGGCGGCGGCTGCGCTAATTGGCCAAAAATCTGTTTTATTTTTATTTTAAATCTTCATTATTGGCGGGCAGCGGGGTTCGCTAAACAAGGTATTAAAAAAGTCTCCCCTAATGTTATTTTCCCACAGTAAAGAAATAAAATCAGTTAATTATATTTTACTGTTTTGCTTTTAAATGGAAAGGCCTAGTACCTGATAGCCTGGGTTCCAGGCCCTGATTTTGGGTTACTCATTCTTATTGCACGTAGTGCGTGCCATAGCTAATTTAATTGGCGTCCCATACTCAATTTTTTTTTTGGATAAGGGCCTGGGCAAACGCTGCCTAATCATTCATGCATACGATTTACCACATCAAATTCGATGTGGGATATCGTATGCATGACTGATTGTGTAAATCACGTGATTGGCTTACTTCGTCCATATTAATTAATGCGGATGTCTCGACTTGGACTAAGCTAGACCATCTTCCTTCTATGGGGTGCCATACGCAGCAAAAGTCCATGTTAAAATCAAAATGTAATTGCAAAATTCAATGTCTAATTTATCAAAACGTAGGTGTAAATTTCTCAAAATGTAGATCTAGTTTCCCAAAATGAAGTTCTAATTTTCAAAACATAGTTAAAATTTTCCAAAATGTAGTTCTAATTTCTTTAAAATGTAATTCAAATTCAAAACGTAGGTCTGACTTGATCAAACGCCCTCTCCAAATTCTTTTCCAAAACGTAAATCAAAAACCAGCCTGGTTTGAAATGCATTTTACAACAACATGGACTTTTGCTGCGTATGGCACTAGACTTGCGAAATGTAAATAAAAACTAATCAGCCAAGCATGACGTGTGCTTGTTCTATTAATGATGGGGGAATCAATTTTCGCTGCAGTCCATTGCCGTGAACAACGCTTCCCAGTGCGTCTGCTAATTTTTTATGGTCAGAGTACCGCGATCACGAGCTCTATGCTAGGCATTATAACCTATGCCATCCTTCTGCATTAGTGAGTTCGTATTTGTATGCTATCTAGCTTAAGCTTAATTGTTTTTGCCATTGCCCACACTAGTCTTCTAAGGACGTCTATTCTAAGTATATTAGGACCGTTTTATTAGGGAGTTTCGTGGCTCCGAAAATGTGAAAATTGTGATCGGTTGAAATTGTTTAATTTCGTCCTCCCATTATCCAAATACGGAATATGTCATGAATGTCATTCTTTTGGCATCCTGGTACCTGCATTCAGTGTTTTACAAGTCACTTATTCCGTCTCTAAATTAACTTTCTACATGTAGTTGGTGGCGCTGTCCAGAATGAGAATAATAATAAAAAATAAGACTTGTGGCAAGTCTTAGTACCTGATAATAGTACAACCATTCAGTTAACAATATCAGCACAATAGCTAAAAACACAACAAATGTGAAAAAGTAAATATTTTATAATATAAAAACCATTTCTTTCTAATAGTTTTTAATCTGTATCTGCAGCATTTGTGACAAAATAAGGAAATTATTGGTGTGTAATAATTAGTGCAAATGTGCAACATGTAACATGTATTGTCTAGATTTGCTTGATCTTTCTTTGTCTCCCACCTTGACCCACTTAAAATGAGCTATTAGGCAACCATGGAGGTATAAAACCTAGTCAGTCAGTGCATTGCTATCAGACTATATTTGAGTAGTGATCATGTTAAGTACTGTAGATATTTAAATCAGTTGAGGATTTTCTGTGTGAATAGTTCAACATAATAATCAAAAAATAATATTTACATAGAAATAAAAAGGTTTCCACAGCTTTATTACGGAGCATAAACTTATAATGCAACCAAGCCCACAAGAGAGCAGCAGAGCTGAGGGGATTTAACAATTTGCTAGTAATCATGGCATACATGCTGAACCATGAAGATTTTGGTAACCATGGTTCCAATCAAGCTGCTCTACCTATGAAATTCAGGTTGTTTATTTGTTACCGCCACCAAAGGAGGTTTTCACTACTGTTTGTCTGTTTTTCTGTCTGTCTATTAGAAATATTACGCAAAAAACTACATAATGGATCGTAAAATTAAGTGGAATGGTACATACTGTAATAATCAAAGAAAGCAATTGGAAAGAAAAGGTCCAAGCTCAAAGTCATGGAAATTTCTTTTATTTATTTTTTTTTTAACCCAGAACATAAAAGAAAATAATGGGGTCGCCCACCATACACGGCCTGCATATTGTTCTGTATTCAGGCACAGGGGCGGGAAATAATGGAATCACCCATCATACATGGCCTGTATTCAGGCACAAGGGCGGAGGTATGCACTTTATGAGTGACTGCTCAGTTTAAACAGTGTTTTTCAGAGAGTAGTCTATCCAGCCGATAGGAAGTACAATACAAAGAAATAAGGGGTAGATATGGGGTTGTGTGCACCATCTGGGGTCTAGTGCACTGACTTCGGGAAGAGATGTTTTATGTGTACAGCATGACCAATTCATGTTGTAGAAATGCAGTACACCGAGGTGTGACATCGAGTCCCTAGGCTGAGATAATTTTCCCACCAGTTTCTCCACCTTTGTGAATGATGAATAAATCTTGTTTTCTAGTTCTCTTCTCATTCAATATTTTTGTTATATTTTGTAAAAAGGGAAAAGTTCAGAATAAATGATTTTATGTAAAATGAAACCATAATACTTTTATCAAATCAGGCTGTGTACGATATTTAAACTTCCGGGACACAATATTGTGGTGAAAAAAACTAACATGTATAGTAGTTACAGATTTTTTTTTTTTTTTTTCATATTTTTAATTAAGAAATATCCTGATGATGGTCAGTGCAATCTCACCAAAGTGTCCAGGGCAATACAGTATACAATTAGGCTTCTTCTGACAATCATGTTTTAATAATGGTGTACCAGAAGATTAATTTCGCTCACCATTCAAATCTCAAGAAGTATTTTAATTAATTTCTGGATTATTTAATCATTTTAGTTCTTTGCGTTTTGCTTTTGAATTTCTTTTTCAATGGGCATTGTGTTTATTTTTTTGCATTTTTCAGACTGAAGATACGTTAGAAAAGAAAGGATCACATAAAAGGTCGTCATCCTGGGGCAGTGCTGAGTTAAAAGAAGTATGATTTTTGTGCTTATGTTTTTTTTTTGTTTTTTTTTTTTTAATCATTTTGATGTTTTTTATTTAAATATTCTGTTAGAATTTTATGATCTTATTTACCTCTGCTGTTACAAAATAAGTGTTACAGTGGTGAAGTAAAATATATTTTGATTATGTTTACCAATAAAAGAGTTCATTTCGAAAAAATTTATGGACATAATAGAGAAGAAAAATTAAAGAGCAGTGGTGGATTCAAGAGGTGGCCCAGCATGCCATATCCCCCCCCCCCTTTCCCCATACTAAACTTTTTCAAAATAAAAAAAAAATTGAGAAAAAAAGAAAATTGCATTCCAAGTCTCTTTTTATTTTTTATTTATTTATTTATTTTTTTTGTTTATTCATTCTGAAGTAATTATAAGTAAAAACATTCAAGGATAAAAACATAGAGAAGTACAAAAAGCAACTTATTTCCACTGTGGTCCCTAAATGAGAATACAAAATTACAGAATAAAAATAGAACAATAAGGAAACAATACAATAAATAATTATACATTTTCAAAACATCAGTCAGATTCAACCAAATTAACATCAAGACTTTAAACTATATATTGTTTTGAAGTTCAGAAAAATAGTGGTTCTTAATGATTTTTTTGAATGTGTATAAGGATTGTGCATTTTGAACATTATAAGGTAATTTATTCCATCTTATCTTTTTCATGAAGAATACAAATGTTTATAAATCTATCATGAGAAAACATGGTGATAGGCATTACTGCCCACCTACTGTAGAGGTGTTATAATCAGATGTCTAGACCCTCTGTCTATGAATGTTCCTCCCCTCTATTTCAAATATCTGGATCCTCCACAACTGTATGATTATTTGCAGCTACATTGATCTTTTTCCTGCTACTTAGTTCTACTTCAACTAGCAAGTGGTAGCCTCCTTGGTTGGCAGCATTAATAATGTAGCATTTGATGCATACTATTTCAAGTAATAATTTAACAATTTTTTAGAATTAATATGTTGGTTTTATATGCATCTACAAATTCCCAAGCAAATCCCTCTGGTTCTACTCATTTTTTTTTGTCATTAAACTGAATTATTCTGGAACACATATTTAGTTCCCCAGCGAACGTAATCATTTGTTTGTGCATGTTGTACCATGCAACATTGGTAAATTACCTTGTCCAAAGACATATAAACTGCATAGGATTTTAAACACTGACCTCAAAATCAAAATCCGGAACCACATCCACTGTGTCAACTTGCAATGAAACTATTAAATAATTAAAAGAGAGTCTAATTGGAGGATGGTGTATATGATATAATTAAATCAGGTCTTAGGTTGCGTCTGTTAAATAAATCGTAGCTTCCTATTCAGTATACGATATTATTATTATTGACGTGTTCAGCCGTATGTAAAGTTGTTTGAATTTAACCTAGCAGGCTTTAGTTTATCTAGTGTATTTCATGGTTGATAGCAATAATCCATCACCAGGTCTCAAAAGTCTTCAACATGTCCAATCGCACTTAGTGGCATAAGTTCAGTACATCACATGTTAAATTTAAACAGATCATTTCGTATGCATCGAGCTGTTCAATTCTAGTTTCGAAACTAGCATTTCTGATGCCATTTGGAATACAATGAGAATGTCTATACTAAGGCACTGTTATTGCAGTCAGAAAAACATTTCTGTCATGATCATCCCTGCCGTGTGGTTATTCATTGACATTGACATGGTTTCCTATACCACTGTCTACATTGAACAGATCTTGATATGAAGTGTGACAAATTCCCCTTCTAAATTTTCAGGGTCAAAGGATGTGATCGCAAACCAGATTTTTCTCCAGAGGAAAAAAATGTTTTTTGTAGAGCACATGATTTAAGAAACATGAAAGTCTTGTTTATTGTGAAATGTTAATGTAACGAAAGATATGTACTGATGAAATTTTCTAAGAAACAAAGGTATAGAAACCTTTTTTTATATTAAATGATTTCGTTTTTTTTAAAGAGTTTGATAAAATAAAAGCTCAAAACTATGTATTCTTATTGTCAGCTAGTCTGTAAAACGTTTGCAGAGGAAAACACATTGTCTCGGTTCCTTCAAAATATTAATTCTGTTCAACTTAATTAGTAATTGAGTTATTATATTTTTTTTAATGAATTTAAAATCAACATTTTACTATCTTTGTAGAAATTAAAGCAACAGAGAAGAAAAGGCAGTCGAAACAGTCCCAGCTCTAATAGCCGTGCCTCACCTGTTCCAGCGAATCATTCCGCTGGCCATAGTTCCAGTTCCCAAAGTCAAAGCCGATCCATTGCAATACCAGTTCCGCGAAGCCAAGGAGTCCGAATCCGTGGAAGTAGCAGTGTTGAGGGTTTAAATCAGGAAATAGAAAAACTAGTATTGAATGGAGTAGAAGATGATATTGGAAAAGTATGTTTTCAAATTTTTTTCATGACATTCAATATTTACATCATTGTTTTTTTCTTATCAGTGAAGTTGCCAACTGATAAGCCACATGGTTAAAGGGAGTGGGGGGCTAAGGTAAAAAATTGCCTGAAAATGGCACTGTCTGAAATCCTGTAGAATTTGCAATGATTCCCTGATGGCTAGGCCAGGTTTCCCTGGTACCTCCCCAGCATCCTCACTAGCTGGTTCCATCCCTGCTTTCTATTGCTATGGTATCCTATTGTTCTGTTTATAATCTTATTAGTGTTTGTGGTGTGAAAGATAACAAGTGATGGAGCTGATTGATTGTTTTTATTGTCACTGTAAGTGATAGTGTTGTTTTGGTTGATGATCTACCTCATAAATATTAATTAGATCAATAACAACATTTCATTAGTGTATTCCACTCTGTAGTGGAGTGGTTGTTTCTGTGTGCGCCAAATTTACCCCTGGCTACGAGACCTGTATCCAAACTGTGTAGTTTTCTCAGTGCAGATTAAAAGGCTAATGTAGATGGATGGTTTGCTGTCCTTCTGTGCAGTAGGTGGTGACTACCTCCCTCTGCTTCACGTCGGAATGTACTGTAGTGCCAATCATCCAATACCTCAGGATGTAAAATTCACTACTTCAACCTCAAACCATGTTGTATAGTACTGTGTACAATTCACTTTACAATTGAGTAGGCCATGACATGAAATTATAATAAATTATTAACTTAATTAACACCGTGATAATGAAGATGCTAAAGGTTACTTTTAACTTGAATCTTCCATTCATCCTCTTCGTTCCCAAAATGCTTGGGACTTCTTCTAGGTTTTCTAAAATCCGATTAAAATATAGAATTACTTAATAGCATCCCTTGTTTTAAAGTCTTCATCATCTGAATTGTTGAGGAATGGGAACTTCTGCCAAAGATGAGCACTTGCTAGCTCAAGTCTCTATGCTAGCTTTCATCAATCTGTCATTTTGTTGTCAAGAATTTGTTACTATGTGGAGAATTCATGGTTACTTTATATCCACCTCCACCATTAAAATATTCCAAATGTAATGTAAACAGTTAGTACAATGGTGGGCCTATGCTTACAATTCACTTTAGTGTGCAAAGTAAAGCATGAAAATAAGCCTAGAGCATAAATAGTACCAAGGGTTAGAGCCTTGTTTACTGTATGAAAAAATATTTGCTAAAGAAAATACTAATTTTCAATTGGAAATCATACAAAGTAAGCAATTAATTTTTCTTTTTTTTAAGGTTTTCTACTTCTTTTGTCATTCACAATGAAAAAAAAGCATACTTTTACCGTTTTAAAAGAGGAAGTTTTTAATAAAGTAAGGGGATTGCATGTTCATTGGTACTTTTAGTAGTGGCTTATTTATTACTTACAGGTTTACTGAGAGCTTGGCTTAGGTACTGAAAGATGTACATCAATATAATTATGATACTGTATCTGTTTTAGCATGTTGAATTTCCTCATTAGCGTTAACAAAGAGGTCTAAAATATTGTATATCACCAGCCCTTTAGTTATAATATTCGTCTCTTGTCAATCGCAAAGAGATCGAACTTTGTTATATAAACCAAAATCCATCAACAATGCTGTTTAATACTCTGTCACAAAATGAGTCACAGGTATGCATTACTTGAAATAAATCGTACACATGTGGATAAATTACACTGGTTTACAATCACAGGAGTTAAACATTACATTACTAGTACTGATCAAATCAACTGCCATCTCTTTAGACGTCTGTAAATGACTTATTTGTTTTCTCAAAGAGCCTGTCAAATCCACTGCCAATATCCTCTTAAATAACTATTAAATTATTTTCATTTATTATTTCAGAGTGCATTGGCAAGATAACCTGCATGAGATATCAAACAGAATTAAATTAAAATAAAGATTTATGTATTTATGTGTTAAAATACAGGTCTCCCTTCAATTATTTCACTTCAGCCTTGTACCTATCTTTCATCTCTATGAGTTTCTAAAGGGCATAAAAACCTCTGTCCCTTAAGTGGTCTTTAACAAAGGGTGGCCTGTGCCTTGAACGATGCATATTAAAAGGCTAAAGGGGAAAAATGTTGTATAATCTCCTTACTTACGTTTTTTGGCCTACCTCATTTGATTTCATAAGTTAAATTAAATTTAACCAGAAGATTAAGCAAAAATCTAAAAAAAAAAAAATTCTTTTTGTAGGCAGTGAAGCCATGTGTGCCTTGATCTGTGTATGGTCGGTGCTCATTTTTTGAAAGAAAAATGGGTCTTGTTCTTCCTTTCAAAAAGAAAAAAATTAATAATGTACATTCGTGCATATAAGACAAGGTTTAAAAAAGCAAATTACGATCGCAAAACAGGGCTTGGTCTTATGCCTGCAACACCAAGAAATTTTAAATCATGTTCGTCTTATACTGAAATGAAGTTTCTAACTAATAGTATGAATGAACGCCATTTTTTAATGTGGGCAAATAAGATTTTAATGAACATAAAGCCTGTCAAATGGTATTATTTGCACTACATTTGGCTCCGTTTTTTGCCAGCTAGATGCAGTATCAAGACCACCAAGAGCAGAAAAAATTTGGAATTCCGACGATGATGCGGGACGGGGGGTGGGGATCGTCTTATATGCCCAACATACAAAATTTGTCCAAAAATCTTCTCAAACTTGGGGGTCATCTTCCACGCGGTCGCAAGAATATACGGTATGATGTGTGAGCAGTGTAGGCCTATATAAGATAATAATAAATTTAATTAAATGACTGTAGTTACTAAGACAATTTGTCTCTATATTATAAATAGATGTTTGAGTAGTGAACAGGGTGTGTTTAGTGTATGTGAAAGCATCTGTTTGATTAATTGATATGTTGCTTCTTTAGAACCATTTTTGTCTCAACTGATAAGTGTTCCACTGACCTTCAAAATTTTCAGTATAGTTATCATGCTTCACAATTACTCATGGATTTCAACAGTATTTTGCTATATATATAGTATGTGTGTGTTAGTATTTCACTGGGTATATTTGTATGGTATGTTTAAAAGTACTCATTTTAAAGGTTTCTATGTATTCTACGTGGTTCGAGTCATGTGTATTTACAAGGCGTATGTGTACTTAACAAGGTGTGATTGTATAATGTTTTATAGAGTATGTGTATTTAAAGTGTATATTACAATGTATGTACTGTATTTTATTTACAAAATGTGCATGCTTTTTAATTTTTCAATAAGATAATTTGATTTGGTCTTCCCCACAGCCTCAGGTTCCCACCCCAGATGGCCACCGTGCCCCTTTTCCAGGAATACGGGGCAAAAAGATGTGTGATAGTGACACACAGACACATAATTATAGCAACGAGGAGAGCAGCGATGGCAGCCGATCGGCTAGTCGCAGTCACTCGGAATCACCACCATTTCAACTTGACGGGTCACAGCCATCTAGCAGAGCTAGTTCCTCTGGCCCAGTTGAACAGAAGAATGAGAAAGGTTTGTTATATTGGCTGGCATTTGTTGTCAATTTTGCAAGTACTACACAAGATCAACTACTAATATATGTTATGCTATCAAGGGTGGTGCCAGGATTTGCCCGACGGGGGTTTCCGATATCTCCTACGAAAGTGAAGCGTATAGTATGTAAATTTAGGGGTTTCAAAGAGTTATTTAGTCGATTTTAGAGCCTTCTAATGTGTAGAAAATACTGTACATATACATTTTTTTCTCCCTGATGAATTGTGGTCTTTCTCTCTGGCTCTCCCAATGTATTATACTGTATTAGTTTCTCTCTGCGGAACTTTTTCAAAATAATGGAAATATTATCCTACTGTACTGCACCTCATCCACATATTCTGACTTCTTCGACCGCATCGTCATCTTTTTTTTGGGAGAGTATTGATAGCCAAAAACACCTCAGAGTTTATTTCCGGGCATCCAGAAAAGAAAAATTTTCCCCCTAAATAGTGTTGTATCGTCCCCCCTCCTCCTTTCAGATCTCTGGGTCCACTCTTGAATGCACATTGCTACTTGCATTTGTTTGCCTCTGACCAACATGCTAGGCCTTGTTAGCATTATGAGTGCAACCGCATTTGCTGGTTGTATACTTATCTTTAAAACTATAATGTAATATTTGTATTATTAGTTGGGCGCCCCTTTAAGCCAGCGTTGCTGTTAGGGATACCTTTGTGAAATATTGTTGAATTATAAATAAATCATGAATTGGATAAAAGGTCATTGCATAAAGCTCTGTCTACCTTATCATCAAGTGTTATTTGAATTTTTTTTTTCATGGAAGGGCATGATGATGGCATAGGTAAAATCCATTGGCTTAATTATATCACACTAATATAAGGGCAAATCACTGTTTCGTACATTAAACTTAATAGTGTTGACCAAGAATTTAAGAAAAAATAAATAAACTGTGTGTAGAACAAAGAAAATTCTTGCTATCATGGTATGTCCTATAAAAGTACAAATATTTTCTATCCTTTTTTTATTATCCTATCTGATACTAGACAGCTTTCCAAGCTTGGTATAACCATCTTTTATTGGCATTATTTGTTGTCTTTTTAGCCTTAATCTGACCTTATACCGTCTGTTTGTTTTTTATAAAGATATAGGTCAGTCTATATGTATATACAGTTTTATTGTGTCTTTACCTTTAAGTAGTTTCCTCTTAGGAAAGCAGAGAATTTCAGTTGTGACTTGCAGTTCCACTTTTAGCCTACCTTTTAATGGCAATTCTGTCAAATTTCTCATTTGTTACACAGGGTAATAAAAAAAATACATACACTAAGGGAGTAATCAGTATGGTAAAACTATCACACAGGCATTGATATTATATGCATGTTAAAAATTTGAACATCCTCACCTCTAACACCTTTGATTGTTTATTTGAATATATGCAAAGCCGATAAAATTTCATTTCAAATATTATAATGTATGTAAAAGGTATTGTTTTTATATTCTTATTCTCAGGTGACAGCTCTCCAGATTTACACTCAGGTAATAAATATGCATCTTCACCAGGTGTCAACAAATCGTATCTTTTGACAAGGGAGCCACCGGAAGGATGTGAAAAGGTTTTGAAGACCTTCTCAGATCCCATGTAAGTAGTGCAATTGCCCCAGGACACAATTAATGTGACCATCATTCAACGTCTTAAGCCCTGTAGAGACGATCACATTTTATTTGACAAAAATCTGCCCATATATAGTCATGATGTGCCTATATATGGTCATAATTTGATGTTGTCATGACCATATTTAGGCATGTTACATCTAGGTGCGAAAATTTAGAGAATATGGACCTCTAGGTGTCTGAAAGTTGCACTCTGATACCTAAAAAATCTTACCGGTAATTCATGTCAACAATAAAATACAATTTCTTTTCTTAATACAGTTTAGGGGGTGCGATCGCACCGTCTGCCCTTGCTTCCGCCCAAGCACATGATTCTGGATAGGTTTGCAATTGTGCCCCACTGTTCAAGAGAGTGTCACACAATAATAATGTATTTTTATTTTTCAATTTTAAATAATCATAGTAGGCAAGAGTGTGTTTTCATAAAAAACAAGGTTTCACCTATTGGCATAAAAGTGCAATATGTGCTAGAAACTAATCCTTAGTCTGAATAATGATCACCATCATTTTTGTTTATAGTTGATTTCAGTTATTCGAATAAGTACTTGCTCATCTTCCATTTTTCTGTTAAGAAAATAGATAATTATCACTGAGTGCTATATAGGACTTGCATAATGTTATTAATGTTTATTTTTTTGTGTAGTATGGAATTAGCATTTAGAATGGTGAACTTGAATAGTTCCTGTTGATGCTGCCATTGTTGGTTTTATTCTATAATCCAAATATGGTATTATAATCACACACGCTAAAAATAATGCAAACATGAACAACTGTATGTAAATAAAGACTGTTTAATTATTATTACTATTATATACTACCTCAAGTAAATTACTTTTTGCATAAAAGAATTTTTTTTTTTCTCTTCCATAGCCACCCTATGTTTGAAGGTGATGAAAACAACGGACTGTGCCCAGACAAGACAAAAGTATATTTCTGCCCCAAGGGACTGGGTTTGTCAGCTTTCTGCCCATTGCCCAATCTACCTGGTGAATTCACCACAAAAACACTTGTGCAAAATAACAACATTGCTGTGGATGATCAGAAATGATGACCTAACCTGGTACAATGAAATGGAGAATACGCAACGCACAATTACCATTGACTATGTGGGGTCGGCTTCAAAATGGTTGCAACTAAAAGGCCACAATTATTCTCCCGTATCTTTGACAAATATTTTTTTTAAATTGAATACTTATCTGTGGAAGCCATTGCAAAAAGCTTGGTGCAAGAGGCCTTTTTATCCAATATTCAAGATTGCCCTTCAGTGGGTAATTAGATACTGAACACTGCCCCCTATGTTGCTGATAGTTTATCATTATCGAAGATCAATTTTTTTTGTTAGAATTAGAAACGTTTATTTGTTCAGTTATGCAAGAAAGAGTTTTATAAATTGGAATGGCCTCAATTTACATATAAATTATTACATTAAAATTTCAAATAAAAAGTACAAACATCATCACAGTTTTTGAAAAATCAATAGAAATATCCTATAAAGTTGATATTATTTACATGCAAAGCATAAAACTTCAATATCTGTTACTAATAATCATATCAAAGTACTGGTATTTTGGTGTTAGTAGCCATAATATTGAATTTAATTTTGGCATTTTACATTAGTTAATACAATGATGGAAAACAAAGTGATTTAGATTATGGTGTTCAAGAAACAATCAAATTTTCCTCTAATTAATTGAAAATCTAATCAAATTGAAGATAATATTTATGAGATTTATTTAAATGTTCAATACGAAATTTGAGAGTTGATTTTTAGAGGGTTTGCAATTGGAAACCAATATTTAAATGTTTTTCCTGTTTAAAAGTTTGCAAAAGTACATAAGTGTATTCCTAAATATTTGACCCTGTTTTAAAGTTGCAAAAAAAAAATATCAGTTTTAGAAATTCGGTTTTAATGCTTAATAGAAGAGAAAAACATTTATAGTAAAAATGACTAAACTTTTTTATTTATGATTTTAAAGATTTATTTAACTGCCCATACCCCAATAAACAATACATACTGTACACAAAGAACCTGTACTTTGGTACGTTACGTGATACCTGTGAGTGTACACCTAACAAAAGCAAATAATACACAATTTGTCTCATTGCTGTTAATGTACTGTATCATGTTTTAGAGTGATGCTTATTTTAATTTATAATTTTATGCAAACTATTATTTTCTGTTTGGTGCTGAGTAGTGTGTTTTTATTGAAGTGTATGTTATTGTCATCAAATTTTGATGGTCGTTGTAGTTATCTTTCTTAATCCAATGCCTACCTGTGCCTCTATTATTTGTACAGAATTTATGCAGGGAAACATAATATTTTTCCATGCTATTTTATCTTAATGTATAATGCATATCTTATGCATTATGTCTATAGGGAAATTTTTATCTGCAAACTGCACCAGTTCAATTCTCTGATGTAGAAATAATTCCAACTACATTGGATAAAGATTAATCTATCAGTCTTAGAGTTTCAGAAAATAAACCAAGTACTTGTTCATGTAGTAGCAATCTTGGTTCATAAATGAGAGTTATATTAACTAAAGTGCCATACTGACATGTGGCTCAATTTTGCGTAGAAGCAACTTGTCTGACCTGTTTCTTTAACAGCATTTTGTTCAACTTCCTCAAATCTGGTTTAATCTTGGTCTTCAATCACCAACCTGTATTGTAATAATTACTTGTCCATTTTGAGCATTTTGTGCGTGCATTCTGTTGTATATTGCTTAAATCAGTATTTTGATATTGTCCTCATTTCCTCTTCGTTGTAACAGTGTTAAACAGCAACAAATAAGTATATAGATTTTTACCATTAAGTTGTTATTAGCTATTTCTGTAAGCTGTATCTGAAATGTCAAAACTCTTGTATCAAACGGTAGTGAGACTCTCTTGTATTGATTCATTGAGTCCTTAATGATGTCATGTATTAACCTAGATTACCTCACCAGTTAATTTCACACATTACAATTTCTATATTTTGAGGAGGCATACTTTGGAAACAGGTACACACTATAAATACCACTTGAAAGTGAATCAGCTGCTATGTAACGCTGTTGGCATGCTTCGATGCTTTCTACACATTCAGTTTTGTGAAAGTTTCAAGTGTTTGGTGCTTGATTATATTTTGATATTTATTTGTAAGTGACATCAGAAGATTGAGTGGGTTTGTTTCTGTCCATATTTCTGTGGCAGCCATTTTTTACCTCATTTGTGTGCATATGCTCAAAGGAAATGTAGTAGGGTCGAAGGTGACAAGTCATTGGTGTAAATATGTCTGTAGAGGAGTTGAATACAGTATTTAGATTTTTTTTTTAGTTGCAGTCTGAAGGTAATTATTCCTTTTGGTTAGTACAGTATTTTCACAATCAAGCTTTTAAACAGTTATTGGGATATTCTTTGAAGTTCTTAACGGACAGTAACTTAGCAAAGTGTTCAAGAATGGAGGAATCCTGATTTTGTTTAATAGTGCTGACTTACAGAGTAAAACGAAAAGGCGTTGGCATTTAAACATGTTTCAGGCAGAGACAGGGTGTTTTGAAGAATCCTTATTTAGTCTATAAGGTTATAATGGAGCTGAGTGAAGGATGAGGATTGTGTAGCATGTTTGTAACAGAATTCTCTGATTGCTGGCGCCAGTGTTGGTACAGTGTTTGCATATTCTCTGCCACTGGTTGATTGGTCAACATGAATTTGTATGGTCACCCACCATTTACTGGTTCACCAGCTGACATCATAGTCAAATTTAAAGCGAATTAGTTTTCAGCAAATTTGTGTTCAGAATCATCACAGCTTTTCTTGGATGGAAACAAAATTACCTGGTGAGGCTTATGATCAAGAATTATGCTTTGATTGTTCAGAGGAAAACAAGATTTAAGCATACACTGTAAATACAGTATATTGAAAATGCATTATAAATATACTGTACTGTAGTGATTGATGATACAGTATTTTATTGAGGTTACTGTATAATAGACAGTACATTGAGGGTAATACAGTATATAAATACAGTATACTCTTAAGTACAGTAGAAGAATACTGTATAATGTATACAGTATATTTTGAATACTGTATTAATCATTCTGTTTGGATAATGTATAAATAAAGTGTATTCAGAATTCTGAATAAATACCGTATATTGAGAATACTGTAATTAATGAGAAAATAGATAACATATAAAGACACTTCTGATACAGTATATGTAATGTAATGTATTGAGAATGTACTGTATTTGCAATCTACATGAACCACCAATAATTGAATGGGGCTTACTATTAATAGCTAACTGGTTATTTATGGTCATGTTGTTTAATCGGATGGTTATCTAGGTCGAGCAGTTGGTGTGGTGCGTTGCCGTCAATTGTCATCCATATTTTTCTTGTGTTTGTAATTCAATGGCAGCTAATTTTTATGTTTGAAACATCGCAGCCATCTTTGCCTGTAAATCTTCAGCCACGATTTATCACGCGTGTGCATTTCATATTCTATGTATATTTATGGTTTCTGTCTGGAGTTTTATTCAAGCTTTTAGAAATCGTGATTGAGTCACTGAAAACATATGTAAGGCATACTTTAGTCTTCATCTAAAATTGAGGCTGGTAGAATGCAGAGTTAACCTATGCTACACATGCAGGTAGTCCGGTATAAGGTTTGACCTTGATGTATTTTCAGTGTGTTAGGTTTACCTTCTGGCTCATACTAAGCATTGGGGGGGGGGGGAAGGAAAGAGGAAACAGATTTTTGAGGGAAGTTATTAGATGTTTCCAGATGGAATAAAAAGAGATTATTTTCAAGTCCTAGTACAGTAGAATAAACCACAGTATAGTAATACTTCATGGTATACATATGGTTTCTAAATGAAATAATTTGATAAAGTTACCCTTGCACACTTCTATAATGTGTATCAATTAGTTACCAACAGAGTTGGCCATTTTTTTCTGTTGGGCATAACCCTAGTGGTAATGGCACGTGTCCCAGATGATTATTTTTAATAGTTGAAATATTTGTGTTATTTATGTGTTTTAAATAGTATCTTTAATAATTTTGGTTCAGATGAGTCACTATATGTTATATTTTGTAATCATATTTAAAGGAGCTGCCTAATGACTACCGTAATCAGTAAACCTGGACATACAGTCAATTCTTTCAATGAAAAGAGTATAAATTATAAACGGATTTAAATTTCAGCCAACTAATACACTACAATTATGTGTTACTTTTAACATTATACAGTTTTTTTAGAACCATTCTTGTATAGTATAACAGATTTTACCCTATTTTTTTTTTTTAGCCTCTATTTTATGAAGCGATCAGAACTGATTATTTAAGCTGTTAATTTTCAAGTTTGATATAAGAGCATAAATTTGAAAAGACAATTATATTTTCATGGAGCCCTATCCCCATGTATATTAATGTAATCCCAAATGTATATATGAATTTACTATAAGATGAACCCACCCACTTCTCTTTATGTAATTAGTTTTTTCACTTCATATATTATTTAGTTGCTTTTTAGGTTGTAGGTTGTAAAAATTGTATATTTACCTGTTTTATGCAGAATATTTGTTTACTCCTCCAAAAGTTTTAATACAGATTCATCAATGCCTCAATGGTTTATTTAGAGTTAATATAGCATCATACGACATTTGCAAATAGCAAACCCAATAGACCTTTCTGCTAAGCCCTGGCCCTGAGATGCTAAGGTGTAAATGCTGTTAACTTGTTTGTGTATGAATTTGATTGGTCGGTTTTGAAGTTTAATTGACACTTCTAGTAAGGTCCATTGTTAGCGATTTTTTTTGTGTGTGTGCAGACTGATGATGATTATATCTGATGATTCTATTGATGAAAGTTTTATTTCTTTCCATTATAAATAAAAATGTGTGTGATTTGTGTATGGAATCCAGTATTTGATCTCATCTGATTTTATTTTTTGATTCCTTAATTTTTCTATGTTTTCTTTTTTTTTTTTATTATGTATAGATTTTGATCTTGAAATTCAATCAAGAGATTAAAAATATATAAATTGTGTGTCCATTAAGCTCTGTCAACACTGTCATATTTTGTGACAAATAACTGATATGCTGATACTTAGGTTTAATATGACCATCATGCCCGTATATGGGCACATCACACAAATTTGTCGCATAAAATTTGAGAGTGCGGACAGAGTTTGAGATCATTTTAAGATATACAGTCTGTGAGCTTAAAGCTCTGTCCACACTCAAATTTTCTTGGACAAAAAAAAACTGTTGTAGTCCATATATAGTCATGATGTACCTATATATGATCATGTGATGTCATGACCATATTTAGGCTTGTCAAATAAAATTTGATAGAATGGACAGGGCTTAAAAATGAAAAAAAGACTTGAAACATTCAATATTTGATTTGTTTACTTTGTTTGTAGTATATTCGGCTTACAGTTGAAAATCAAAATCGGAGCAACAAAATCTTTCCCTTTCTGGTTAACAGATGCATAGGTGATAACATTTCTATATTCTTTGCTTAAGCCCTCAAGTCATATCATATCACAAACTAACACGGTGAAATTAGATTATGTTAGTTTTTCACAAACTAAACACAATTTACTTTCATTGTGTTAAGTTTGTGATATGAGCGATGATATTTAGGAGTTTCATAAATCAGTCAAAACTGAATTGTTTATGGGAAGCTTATTACTTGCTTGATCCTATTAAATAAGCAGTTCAATGTGTTTAATGTTTCTGGGGAATTTTTTTTTTTTTTTTTGGTTATATAGATTTTACTACAGATTGTATATATCTTGTGTGTTTGGACATAACGATTTTTATTTTTTCTTGTATTTGGTTTATACCTGCTTGTGCTGTTTTTAAACATTGTTTATATATAATTGTGCTGCTGTGTATTTATGTTATTGGTTATCAACCAACTGTAAGGCCTGTGCTTAAGTATTTACTGGAATTACAGTACCTATTCATCAAAATTATCCAGTTTTTTGTATTGAAAATATTGTTAAATTATTTCCTTCTGCTGTGTTTGCAGCACAATTAAGTCCATTTTTATAGAACACTACAATTTCAACAAAAAAAAAAAGCAAAGCAACTGAAGTTCTGTCCATGTTCTTTGAAAAAATATTGTTGTATGCCCATATATGATATGATGTCATCATGACCTTATTTAGGCTTGTCACTTTTTTTTTTTTTTTTTTAAATAAAATTTGAGAGTTTGGACAGGACTTAAGTCTTGTATTGTATTGGGAGGTAAAATGAAAACCCATGTTAGTAATTGATCTAAAAGTAAACAAGTTATTTTACTCTTGTTTTACCAGTAGGTTTGATGTTTTTTTTATGGTGGTTCTCTTGTATTTGTGATTTGTCTCTGTATTTTTGAAAATTTTGTTCTATATACATTGGTACTTAGTTAAATCGTAAGAGAATTGTTCAAAAGAACTGTAAGTGAACTGGCATGACCAATCACAATGGAAGACTGAAGTGTAACAGTTTCAAATGTGATAATAACCAATACCTTATGAATTGTTTTATTTCATAATTGTAAAATATGAGGTACTGTATGTTTAAAAAATGAGATCTTTTATTTTTTGGAAGAGCAGAAATTATACTTAATGATTTGGCTGTAGTTTTGAAAATTTGATACCTAAATTAATTTCATTTTAAGTTGAGGAAAATGGTTATGTTTATTTGATCCAGTGTCTTCTGAAATATGTTTCAAAATCTGCATTACAGTGCATACTGACTGGAGTCTGTCAGATCATGTTTGTTGGAAATAATATGCTTTACATCACCAGAAGAAAATCTGATCATACATTTTGAAATCTGGCAGACAAAAATGTGATACTGTATTTTCAGTATGCATTTTATTTGCAGCTTCATAAAGTTGTGTTTGTTTTTCATGGAATTTCATGTTTGAATTGTTGAAATTTCCTGGTTATTTGGAAGAAGCTAATTAGTAAGAATCATACAATAATGTGCATATGAATAATACAAGTTAAATAAGGATTTATTTTATTATTCTTTGCACAAATGATACCAAAGGAAGAGGACCTAATATGACAACAGTCAACTGTTGTTACAAAAAATGGTTTTGAAGTTAACTTGCGGATGTACTGGAGATGTGTCTAATGATGAAGATTTATTAAAAGAAGGCGCGACAGCCTAGATAATTTGACTTTTACTCTTTCTTTAAGTGTTTTGTTTCTTAACATTACAGTTCCACATGTTATTTTCATTTTGGTGAGCAAGATTATATCCATCTATGTTGTGATATGCTCCTGTTTCCTGGTAGGCCTACCATTAAAACGCTCAGCACCCCTGACCCCTAAGCACCCCGAAGCTGCACCTACCCATAGGGTCCTCGATCACCCATACCCAAAAGGGCTTTGTTGATACATAACAGCATAATGTCTCTGAGACCATTATATCTGAAGCTGAAGGCCTAATCGAGTTGGTGACCGGATCAAAAAGGGGGCCCCCAAGTCTCAGAAAGCCACAGGGCCCCGGGCCCATCATTACACCACGGAGAATGCTCTTTCAATATGTTTGTCAATCTGTATGTGGATAGTGTAGTGTGTGGAGATGGCCTGCTGACGATGATGGCTGTAGGAGGCATTTGGGCAATGTTAAAACTGTTCCTAAGAGGTGGCCTTACAATTCTCGTTTGTTCCAGGGGGGAAATCCCAGGGGCGGATTGCTGTAAAATGGTCTTAACTGGTAGTCTTAACTCGTCGAATAATGCCGGCTTTATCACTTGGACGGTCTTACTTAAGTCACTTTACTAAGACCATTGCTATAAAACTGTTCAGTTCATACTACCCAAACTATGCAGGAGACTACCAAGGTGTGGGCACCTTCATATGCCACCTTAGCTAGCTCTGACCCTGTTGAGTAAAAAAAAGTGGACAATTTTGGACCATTTTAAAATATTCTAAAAGGAAGTATTTTTAAATAGATAAACATGTAGAGTATCACAAGTACTGTACAGTGTAACAGGTGGCGGTCACAATGAATAATTTGAACTAATGGATAAAAAAAAAAAAAAACAATTTGTAAGATTTTAGTTGTAATAAAGCCAATATATTTATATACTGGTAATTAATTTTGACTTGATTATACTAATAAAAATTCATTGAAAAACAAACAGCACATTTTTATTTTATTACCAAATTACTGGAAGAAAAGATGTAAACCTAGAGAGTGAATGTTTGTAAATGATTAGAAAATAGAAACTAAGTTGTAAGCATTTAACCAAGAATAAATCCATATGCAATCAAACCTATCGCAGTGGTGGCGCCAGGACCTGCCCGACGGAGAGGGGGGCTAGTGGAGCGAATCGAGTCTCACTTGGCTGGGGGGGCCGCCTAGGGCTCCCGGTGGGGTCCCGGGTGTTTGATGAATTATGGCGATTTTTTATTACTTATTTGATAGGCATCGAGTCACTATAATACGACTTCATGTAGGCTATGCTTTCTAATGATGTTGAAATCAGCTTCCAAAACCAAAACATTTTGAATAAAGCAAGAAACAAAGAGTATGCAATGTAATCATCTAATTTATTTTCAAATCCTCATTCTTGAAAGTGAAATTCTATATTTTGGAAATTTTGCATTACATCTGTCAACCACGCTGTCATGGTCGAGGTTGCTTCACCTATCACGATGTATTCCAACCATCATGAGGATATCTAAATGAGCATTTGTCATAACAGAACGCAAATTATTTTTAATTAGTCTCATTGAATTATTATTATTATTATTATTATTATTATTATTATTATTATTGGTTCCTTGCAAGCATAGGAACTTTTAAAATCCTGCTCGTGTGTATGTAGTATGTACGTTACTAGTATGTTACGCAGTTTTTTGTAAACAGGCAAACGTGACTTTCCAGACATCTGTTTGTTTTGTGCGTCTGTACCCAAGCTAATCTGGATCTTTTGTTGTGCCCTATTTCATAGTTTTCTATTTTGACAAATATTAAAGCCATCCTAATGAGAGACAATACCCCCCCCCCCCCTACTCTTGAAAAGACTAGTAAACTGTATAAGAGGAAAACATTTATGGAATGTTGTGTACTTTCGTAGTCCAAACTAATTCCGTTTTAAATGTGATGGATCGGACTCCAGGGACTTTCCTGGCTAGTGTGGATATAAAACTTTATCTGCACTCCAAAAACCTCAAATTTATACTACTACAGTTTGGATAAGGTTCAACAGCAGACAGAATAGAATTGTGTTGTGTATGGAAGTGTTGTGGTTTGAAAAAAACATAAAACAAACTTGACGCAGGGTTCCCGGAACGCCGCCCTCAGCGGCGAGTGCGAAGCACAACTCGGGGTCAAAAGTGGAACGTGAAATTTGGATATGGTTTTGTAGTCAGATTTGCGAGAAAAACTTCAGCTACCCGTA